TGGGTTTTGTTAGTTTGTGTGTGTGTTTATCTTTCCGTGGTGACTATCTAGACCCGTGAGCCTCTAGTAGTTGCCACTAACAATATGAAGAAAACCTGAATTAAAAAAAGGGTCAAATGCACACTCAAAAATAAAAAATATTATATAATAAAAATAATACTTATCGATTAGTTTCACATGTCAAGTTCAGATGATCTTGTGGTTACGTGGTTCAATCGCAATCATAGATAGAATCATAAGAAATCGATTAGAGTAGTATAAGTGCAGTTAAAAAAAATTCAAGATTATGTAATATAATTGAAGAGAAATAAGGTTTTCTTCTTCGTATTAGGCATTGGTATTTAATTGCAATTTGCTACAATTATGTTTATGATCATTGAGGTCATGACAATAAATTATCTATTAATAAAAATTAGAAATTAAATTTATGATTTCTAATTATGCTGTAAAATTAAAAATATATTTTACTATGCTATATTGAAACTTATCAACTCTTTGTCTTCTTCTTGTAAGAGTGATTCACGAATTTTGACCAATGCTGTCAACACTGTCCGTCTGCCGTCCGGTTCAGCGAGATCGAAACCAGTCTTCAGACCATTCTCAGCTGGCCACCTTTGAACCTTAACTGCCTCCTCTTTCGGTGGGCCGTTTGCAAGTTCCATCCAATACATTGCAGTAATCGTAGCTTTATAAAAGGTAACATATGTAGAGATTACACGAATAGCCCATATTGTCTGATCTCTAGGTGCTTTTCCAAGAGATCGTAAATTCTCACTATCACAAGAAAGAATCACCGCAGCGATCTGTGATTCTCCAAAGTCAGTAGCATACCCGACATTTTTCAGGTGTTTGTCCTGTTAAAAAAGTTGTTTGAGACGACAAAATAATAATTTCTCAAACGATCAACAACATACAGACCTCTACCACAAGAACAGTAATTTTTTGCCTTTGCACCACAAACTCGGGTTCTGAGGACATGCAGGGCTCGCCTTCAATATATAGTTTACATAGCGGGTGATTTCTGGATTTTAAAGAATGCAACTTAGAAACTACTATATTTACCAGAAACAAAAGTTACTCACCTGATCATCAAGGGAAAGTGATTCAGTTTAACGATACGGAGTAGATCATTCACAAATGTGTCAGTAAAAGTCTCGGCTGTGCCTGTCACCTGAAAACCATTGAAAACTTGAGGATCCGAGATGTGTTGAAGTTTGCCGACACCAAACTCCGCATTTGAAAGGATTTTACGATTAATATGAGGGAAAATATAATTGTCCGCAAAGTTGGTGACTGAACAATATTTTAAATTGTAAGTATTAAGTTCGCTGAGAGGATTGCTGATACAATTTAGGTCTCACCTTCAACATCGGCTATAACAGCGTTCTCGCTTGAAGCTGGTTTGAAGCCCACTCTCAGTAGGTCAATATCTCGTAGTTTAAATTTGGATGCGGAGGGAGGGAGGTTGTGATAGATGAGGAGGTTGTAGGCTCAGCTTTTTTGTTTCTTTGAAAGTTAGGGAAAAGAATCTTGGTCGGAGAGTACGCACGGCAGGGCGAGAAAACCTCGCAACGAGACTGAGCAAAGACATTTATAAACAAAAAATTGATGATGCCTTTATTGAAACGATAAAAATACATGTGACAAAGTCATGGTAAAATAAGGTGATATATATACAACGATCACGATTAACCTGATTCTGATTTATGACGCAACCGTGCATATAATATACTGTACATCTTATTAGCCACTTCTATTAAGCTGATCGTCTTCAAGTAGATGTGCGATGTACTCTTAATTTACCTGGTTTAATTATGTCTCAGCTATAATTTAAGTTATATAGCTTAGCGTTAGATTATGCTGTTAAAAACGATGGCTTAAGCTTTGGCTATAGCTTCATAAGCCAAGTAAAGTTAATCAAACCAATTGTATTCCTAAACATTGTTCTTCTCATTGCAGTTATTTTGTAAATTGGTTCATGAATACCAACTTATTTTAAATTTAATAATTTTGTGTTAATTAGTACTTGGTTTTTAATAGTCACTTTGCTTTATTTCAAATAATAATAATAAATAAATTCTTTCTTTAGGGTAGTGACAGATATTACGTAATATTTTTTACTACACCATCTTCCCTTCTCTCCCACAAAAGATAATTTTGATTGGTCATTATAAATTTATACATCTAACATAAGATATCAGAGCATTCCCTCAAGATATTATGTAATATCTGTTACTACACTTACTGTTTAAATTATTTATGATTTCAATATGTGTTAGATGTAAACTGTGAATATTCAAATCAAATGAAGATAGAAAATTGTGATTACGTGCACTAAAATCTATTGGCTAGTATTTATAAATGCTTTCTGTTGTATTCGGTATAGAGTGCGTATACTTCTTTTATAATAATTCGGATAGGTTTAATACCGAACAAAAATGATTGGAACTTGTTGTTCGAATTAGAGAGGCGATTATACGTGTAGTACGTTTAAAGCATAGGTCGAAATCCGGTTACGCGTATGCTCCGAGGCAATGCTGAACGGGTTTCGAAGCACGAATTAACCAGTTAAGCAAAATTACATTCAAGTTTTAATAAGCAGCAGTCACCAGTGTTACCAATAACCTAAGTCATACCATTTTTTTTATAATTTTTGGCCATAAGTCACATCGTTCATAACAAACATTAATAAAAAAAAATTTTATACTATGATTCATATTATATTAAGAGATCATAAAGTAATATAAACCTTCATTATGGCCAAATAACCTATGACTGGTTATAAAGGTCACACAGGTCATTTAAGGCCATAGGCAACACTGGCAGTCACTCACGTTCCTAAGCTTTTTGTTAGCCGTACTAAAAAGTTATGTACTGTCCCTAAGCACTTTTCTACTGTAGAATTTTTGGATTCGATTCCCGAGTGAATCAGGTTTCGCAGTTTATAAATACTTCAATATTTATTCAGTTGGCTGATAAAATTATCGCAGCGGCAAAAAAGTTTGCTTATATTTATGCACTCGATAATTTATAAATAAAAGGTTTATTATTTTCATTAAATGCCCAATTCAAAAATATACAAAATTAAAGAATAAAATTATCATTTACATGAATACGATAGAAAGAAGAAAAGAAGAAAAACCCAATACAACAAAGTTCAGGAAAGTTATATAACCGATTTAACCCATTCAATAAAAAACTGAATAGTGAAAAAAAAAAAATTGATAGGGGCCAGCCCTTTACTACTTCCAAATCTTTTAAGATAGATTGTCCGTGTTTAGCTGGTATGCTTAGCATCATTATTGAAATATTACAAGATATTTAGGAATTGCAGACTGGTTTAAAAAAATATAAAGTTTATTAGAAAGAAGAAATGATATCTTAAATGACTATTTATTGAATACACACCGCTTCACTATCAAGAATATAAACTGGGCCAGACAGATTAGTAATGAGATCGACGATGAACATGGTATTTGCCGTGGCACCATATGCCCCATTCTTTCCATACCCATACGACGCATTATAGCCATAACTGCAATAGCCAAGTGAAACGGACGAATTGTTGGCAAACCACAATTCTTATACAAAAAGAAAAGACTAATTAGTATATTGAGTTAATATAAGAAAAGTTTATTTAATTACTTACTCCCATCACCAGAAAATCTTATCTTGTTTCCATCTTGTGCGATCCCACATGCACCACACCCAGATCTGCAAAACTCAGCTTTTGGATTGGAAACAAACCGTTGAGGACCGCATACACATTTTGTTCCATGAAATGCTCTAACATTTGGATAAGAATATTTTGCTTTGTAATCGTTATGAGCTTTCACAAGATGAGTCGGCATGTTTAACTTGAATATTCCAAGAATAGTATTATTGGGAAGTCCCATACGGAAGGATTGTAGGGCATCTTTATATTCAGAATCACTTGTTTTCAATAACTTCATTTCAGTCTTTTTGATCACCGAATTTGAGAATATTTGATTTAGCTTGGGAGGTGGGGGAGTAGTCGATTTAGAAGTCACAATAGGTTGATTAACATTCACGGGAAGTGGAGGAGTCGGATTAACAGTCACAGGAGGTGGTGGTGGAGTAGTCAGTTTAGCGGTCACAATAGGTTGATTAACAGCAGGTTGCGCAACAGTAACGAGAGATGGAGGGGGAGTCGGATTAACAGTCACAGGAGGTATATAGATATTTTGAACAGGAGGAGGATATTTAATGCATCTAGTACAATAAACATCCTTTCGACTCGCGCAAAGATTGTAGCATCCTGAAGCTTGACATGTAGGCTTCGGCTTCTTATTAACAATCTTTTTCACGCCATTGAAAATTTTTGAAACCAAAGTTCCTTTATTGTAATGTTTTTTCATGTTTTTTTTTTTTGGCTTTAATTTGAAAAAAAATGTATATAAATTATAAATGCTAAATTTAATACCAACAAAGATTTAGAAGTGAATTGTCTCTCTGGCTTTTGAAAATTACGATGTATTTAAAAAGTTTGTCACGGAATTGAATTTCCGAATGGGTTGATCTTTTTTTTTAGATCTTTTTTTTTCAGTATGCACGTTCGAGAATAAGCAGCAATATAATAAGATTTTGTACGCATATACGTATATAGGTCATTACTACTTTTTTATTGGTATGTAAACTATTGCTATTATGGGATATTTAACAATAAGAAAATTTCTCACAAACATGGATTTTTTCCGTCTATTTGATAAACAGTACGTATTCTTATCAATGTTCTATATGTTCTAATATGTGAAGATAAACATACGGAAAATTCCATAAATTCTTTCCATGTTAATTTAGCTATATTTAAAATTTTCTAAAAATAACTAAATCTTTATGAATTATAAATGCCAAATATTTTGAACATTATGGACGTTTTTGATCTTCTCCGATCTTATAAGTAGGCTCTTTCAAATAATTATAAAGAGTATGGCATTATTATTTTTCTTATTTAAGATAATTATTTAATTTATTTACTATTTAATCAGTTCTGCAACGTCAAAATAAAACCTTGCATAGATGATTAAACGAATGTTCTTAGTTATGTAGGATTAGGAAATCTATTTAGTCGCATTCATGTTCTTGGTGTTTTTGGTAATTAGTATTATATATTCGTCTTGATTTCTTGGTATACCTTTAAGGATCAAATAAAAGTGATTGCTATTTTTTATTTTTTATTTAGAATTATTATAAAACACCTATAGATGTTAAAGATTTCTATTGGAGAAAACGTTGTGACACAATTCGGATTTCATGTCACATAATCCGATTCCATTTAACAGAATGAATGAAATAATGAGAAATGGAATTAACGATTTTAAACAAAAATTCATATAAATATATAATTAGTATTTGTTGATTTTTTATATGTATAAGTATTATAAGAACGATGATAATAATTACTATTAATCATACAATAACTACCGTATATATTTATTAAAAAGCTGTTTTTATAAAGTTTCAAATCATTAATTTAATATATTAAACGTTAATATTTTCCGTATCATCGCATATTCCTGATAATAACAAACCAATACGGACACATGACCATTTTAATATTATATATTATTTTATTTCCTTAGCTTATATTAGAAATTAAAAAGGAAGGCTTTTACTGTCTCTTCCATTTTCTCTGTTGCTGTTAATTGTTATTTTTTACATAAATAATAAGCATATTAATTTCTTTGAATTTTTAAAGAATTAAGCATATGTACGTACGTACAGTATGTATTTAATGATTTGGCGGTACAATTTATTTATTATAGAAATTTCTTGTGATGCATTTATTTATAGATTTTCTAAATAGAAAATGATTTGTAAAATGCGAGTATTGTATAATTTCATCTCATTGTCATGTGCATAATCGTATCGTTTTAAATTTTAATGTGTCAAAGAATGTACAGAAAATTATGGTTACATTATTTTATGTTACAGCCTTTTTGGGACATATAATAAAAATTTGGTAAGTACGTACGTACGTACTACCATTGATGAGCAAGTTAATTAAATGCATATGCTTCAACCTAATCAAAACTTTATCTACTTTATAAGCATTATATGTATGATGATAATCTTTTTTTGATACAAGTACAGTTCTGTAGCTCTCTATATAAGAGACATTCGGCATAAGAAACTCTTGATATAAGCAATGTTTTATAAGCCCCAATTAAAAATTTTATAATAAAAGGCATTGATGTGAGAAAATCTCGGTATAAGAAAGATCTTGGCTAAACCCAATGACTTTCTTATTTTGTATTTGTATTTATTCTTGATTGAACTTAATCGTTCCCGATACATACGTATGTACGTACGTACATTTGTAGGTTACACAGTGGCATCGTGAGTATGCTGAAACAGTTACAGTAACAAGAATTCCTATTCAACTATTCACAGGTTACAATGAAAAAACCATTCGATCAAGAGCAAATATTTCTCTTAATGTTTCTTCCAACGTAATTAATTTTTCTACTTTCAAATTAATTATATAAGTCAAGTCATCCTAATACGTCTAGTCTCAATTAAAATAATAATAATTCGAACTAAAAAAAAATGCCATTCTTATACATTTTTCTTTCAAACTTGACAACTTAATTTTATTCGATACATTAATGTTACAATTCTGATGGTCCGATTATTTATACACTAATTATGTTCAAGATGCGCCTTTTTCCAAGCTATATCGCTCTACATCTTTTCCTTGTGATATCATATGATCCTACCCACAACAACTTGTAGTAATTTCTAGATTTTCTAGACAGTATGCATTCAAGATATGACATATCATAGCACAACTTTACTCAAATGCGAATACATGTATATTAATATCCTGTATTAACCCCACTTTTTGTGAGGTAGTATGGGGTTGATACAATTTTTTTAATCTTAACTTTGAATTTCGGTTTTCTCCGATGTGCCATTATTTTTTGAATTAATGGATCGCCGATCTGCGATAGATACGAAAAAGGTTAGATCAGCAAAAGCGTAAGTAAAAAAAAAAACTAACAGAATATTAGAAAGACAAAAGCTTAAATTGTGAGATTTTTGAAATTCAGCGCAGGTAACCAATAGCAACTAAATCATTAGTTTAGGAGTTTAGGCGAGACCAATTTAATCCGGTGGTTTGCTTTACATTACATTCCTTAAACGATTAGGGTAGTGTGATGACTGGAAAACTGCGACTCGGTCGCTCCACAATACAAGAGCTTGCGTAACCGACGTTAGGTAACCATACGAAAAAGGTGCGTTAGATTTGGCTGGTGGTTTATTAAGGCTTTGGTTACTTGGGGTCGGCAAAGTAGGGTTATACTGGGTGTAGTGTTAATGTAATATTATGGGCAGTGTATAAGGTGTGGACTTATTTTTTTAATAAAACAAAACGAAGCATGATCTCTTCGTGGGCAATTTTGGCCTTTATTTAATTACTGTATTGCTCAATTTAGTCTCTTACAAATGCATATAAAATTAATAGTATAATATAGGTGTTTTTGTAAAATATAGATAGTAGGGTATATAAAAGATAACAATAACTAAAATAATACAATAATAATAATAAGTTATAAAAAAAAATAAAAAAAAATAAATAAAAATTAACTATCTACATCATCCTTTCTTTAAAGTTTGAGCTCCAGTAAAATAAAATAATATCAAAAAAAAAAATTATCAAAAGAAAAAAATAACCAATAATAATAATAATAATACTAATAATAATAATAATAATAATAATAATAATAATAATAATAATAATAATAATAATAATATAAAAATTTAAAACCCAGAAGAAGTAGACAAACACAGTTCTCTAATGCATAACCTGAGTATTGCTACTTCTTGCAGAACTGTAAGAGCTGGGTATATAGTAAGCACCCTTGTAAAAGACAACCCAGAGGTGTCACTTCCAATATCTTCAAACCACTGTAACCCCTCAACTGGTTTTAACAAATTCTTCCAACACTTTAATTTACCACTTCTTCTATCTTCCCAAACAATTAACTCATTCCTTCTTCACTTAATCAAACACAGCTTTAGAAATGATTTACAAGGTTAACTTATAATCTCAATTAAATCTAACTACAGTGAAGCACATATTTATTCACCATATGAGCCCTCCTACTTCCCAATCATAAAATTATACCTTATCAAAGTGCAATTTTTACAAATCTTTACATTCTACTAAAGTCTCAAACTCAATACCTTATCCCTCCTAGTTCTCTCAATCTTTCTATATATACTCACAATATCTGAGGTTTTAACCAAAATCTTAAACAACAGATTTGGAATACTACTGTCTATCCAACAACCTAAACATTATTGACTCTCTGAAACAAAACTAGCTAGTAGCAACTTTACTTCAAAACCTCTTAAAACACAAAACTACACCTACTTTTGGTCCTGTACTGACAGCTTCAAACTGCCATTATGATATGCAACTTTTTAACTTCCAACATTCTCAACATATCCTATATTTCTGGCTATGCTATTTCAATTGACTTGTTCTTCAAACATGATTTTAAATTCCATATTATCTCGATCTAACTTCCTAGTAACAACTCTTTTACTTGACTTCAAACTCAAAATACAATTATTTAATAGCTTATACTCTCAATTTACTTCTTATTATTCTTAGAGACTTTAATGCCTCTACTAACAATCCCACTTATCCTCTATCAAATACAAACTTTTTCAATTTCTTACCTACAATAATATGTACAACCTGGCCGCACATATTAACTTCTATTTCTCTATATAGTACAGCTTTAGATACAGTAGTGAAATTGATTTTATCTGAGTCTACCATATGATCCTAACCTATCTTATCTCCTTTAATACTGATAATACAGACAGTAGCTTACTTAGTAACCATAAAATCATTATCTCTTGCTAGTCTTTTTCTTATGCTCTATATAGCCAATGCAGATATAAAACATGCACATGTTGACAAATCTTTAACTACAAAGCTATGAACACTACACTATAAGAGGAATTTTTCAACCAAGTTAATACCAATCTCTACTCTAACCATACACTCTCCTCAACTGATACTGCAGAATCTTTCGAAACTACTTAGCACAAAATTCACAAAATTCACAACAGTATAATCTCTGCTGCTCTAAAGCACATATCTAATAAATAATTTACTGTTTATAATTTTCAATACACATTCTCTTTCAAAGCTACTCACTTACACTTTAGTTTTAAAAAACTTGGCAATATTATTCTACAAACCAAAAATGCTCTAAAATACTACACACCTAACCTATTCTTATATACCTTAACAACTCTATTTTTCTTCTTAATCAATCTCTCAACTTAAACATCTTTACACTTTTCCAAACATACCAACTCCTTTCTTCTTGAATTA